ATGGGAGCTACCACAGCCACTGGATCAGGAGTCGGCGCATTCGAGTAGAGCATTAGAGCGCCAGCATTAGAAGCCTCCAGGCTGCTCGTATCGAACGGATCCCGTACAGGCGTCTGCTGCTCGCGCTTCTGCTGCTGCGCAAACTCCATGGTGTTGGAGTAGGTGGGCGGCATTTGATAGGGCGGCGGCTGCAATCGAGCGGGCGAGGCGCCGTTCGCCTCGAAGTCAAACTGCGGCTGTTCGTTGAAGTAGGTGGGCGTGTTGGGGCCCGAGGAATAGCTTGTGCCCGCACCACTTTCATTAAACGTGGGCACATCAATGGGCGCGTCCAGCAGGCAGAAGCTGCTGTCCAGCTGCAGCGAAGAGCTATCGCCCATGCCCAAGCCAGCGGTCGGTCGCATCTCTGGCGAGATGTCGATCAGTATGCCCTCCTCCTGCTGATGCGGCGGTGGCGGTCGCTGTGGACCCACCAGACTCTTCGTCTTGACCGCATTGCGCCGCTGCAGCCCAGCCGAATCGTTGACGAGTTTGTTGTAGGCGAACTGCTTGCTCGATATGGACTTGCGCTCCTTGGCGTGTGCATCCTTGCCATGCGATGGCGGCGTTCCCTGCGGCTTTAGAGAGGCGCACTTGCGCTGTCGCTCTTCGCTGTTGGACAGCACCGCACCGCCAGCACCTGCACCACCACCCCAACAGAGGCCAAAGGACGAGCCATGCGTTGAGCTGTTGCCGCGCATTTGAACCTCGTTCTGGCGACGCTGCTCCAGCAGGGCGCGCGGAAAGATGCCAATGTCGAAGGTGCGCTGATTTTGGCCCTTGATAAGCTTCAGCTCCGAGCGGCCATCGATGATGGCAATGGCATCGCCCGGCTCGATCTGCAGGCCCTTGGCATCATGATAGCTGCGCGAGGCGCGCATCACAGGCGGCGACATGCTGGCCAGGTATTCCCTGCAAGCGAGAGGATAAAGACAAAGATTAGCAATAGCTAAAGTGGATCTAAGCATAACCTACTTGAGTGCTGCGAATGTGGGCCGTTCCGCTGGCGTCTTGTCCCAGCACTGAAGCATCATGGCATAGACATCGGGCGGACAGGCATCCGGCTGATGCAGTCGCTCGCCCTCTCGGTCGATTTTGCGCAAGATCTGAGATCCGTTCAGCCCAACCCAGGGATCCTCTCCAAAGCTAAACATCTCCCACAGCGTCACACCAAACATCCAGGTGTCCGAAGCATGCGAGAATTGACGAAAGCGCAACGACTCGGGCGCACACCAGGGAAACGGCACCTTCTTGTGCTCGGACATCACATAGCAGTCGTCCTCCTGGGGCAGAGCACGCATGAGACCAAAGTCTCCAATCTTAATCTTATTGCCAGCGGCCAGCAGAACATTGCGGCAGGCGAGATCACGATGCAGAAAGCGCTTCTGCTCCAGATAGGCCATGCCAGTGACGATCTGCACGGACCAGTTCCAGATGTGGGTCAACGAGGTGTGGCGGCACTGCTTGCGCAGCGTGTCCAGCAGCGAGCCACGTTCCGCCAGCTCCGTTATCATCATCATGGGCTGAGAGAGCACCACACCGTATAGACGCACCAGGTTCGAGTGATCGAGGGCGTGCATGGCCTGCACCTCGCGGAAGAAGTCATCGATGATGCCCGGCTGGGTCAGGTTGTCCGACTTGAGCACCTTGACGGCAACCTGGAGCACCTTGCCAGACGGCGAGGCACTCCACTCACCACGTCGCACCACACCAAAGGAGCCATCGCCCAGCTTCAAGCCCAGCGTGATGTCCTTCTCGTGGATCAGGCACGTCAACGCGCCCGGTTGCATGTGCTGCTGCTGCTGTTGCTGCTGCTTCTTGGACGAGGGCTGCTTGCCCCCACCGATCAGTTTCGAGAGTATATTCTTGCGCCACTGATGCGCCTTCTTCTTGCGCACCGCATCCATCAGCCGGCGAATGGCAGGCTTGCCCAGCCCGCAGCGCTCCAGATCGTCGCGCAGGACATAGTCAAAGTGCGCCAGCCTAGTCACCTGCAGATCATCACGTATGCGTTCCAGGAACTGCTCCAGCTGCACCTCGCGCAGCAGATCTTCCAGCCAAGCCGTCTCGCTGACGCCGCCGTCGCCACCCGCAGGCGAGCCCATTATTCGGTGTACTGCAAGAAGCATTGATCAAACGGGTAAAAGGAATTTGTAAATTTTAAAAGTTAACGGAACTAATATATGTATAAGCCAGTTTTAGGGCAGATCAGTTAAAAAAAAAAAAAAGGATGAATAAGTGTCTAGGCTGTAAGGAATAAAATTCCTATTTAAAACTTTTAAACAAGATTTTTGATAAGATTTGCCAATTTATATTTTTAGTATTTTTGGTTTTGTATTGTTTTTCCTGTTTAAAATAACCTTTTTTGTTTTTCAACAGAAATCGACAGAGTATTTAAAAATGATTTAAAATGGCTTTTTCAACATGGCAAATTCTAAAATTTACTTAAAATACCTTCTTTTGTTTTTGGTATTTTTCGCAACATTTTGACATAGTTTTCATATGCGACCATTCACTCTTGCAAACAAGCTGCATACATTGAAATTGGTTTGTTTTTCTTTTTCTTCTTTCTACCTAATTGTGGTACTTCCCACGCTCACGAAATATGGGAAATTTCGATTTGCATGCCGCTCACGTATGCCCACTGTACGGAAACTCTTTGAATTGTTTCGAACATTTTTAATAGGGGTTGGAGGGGCGTGCCTTCATACTTGTTGCTTGCTTCGCATCGCCACGGTCTTCAAATGGCCGCAGCGAACTTGAACCCAGAGTGTCATAACATAACGGTCCTAAAGTACTTTGTTAGCGAAAGTGCTATATGACAGTAAATGGACAAACAGCAAATTAAAATTGCCGACGCATTGTCTCTGTCGGCGTCGGCGTCAGCGTCTGCGTCGCCGTTGTAGCTTTATTATCAATAGTAGCATTACGTCAGCTATAAACGGTGACAGCGCAAGCGACTGGCTCGACGCAGAATGCGACAGAGACGGCAACTGCGCTGCAGCAGCTGCATGCAAGTGGGCCATGCATGATGGAAGTGAGTGACAGAGAGAGAGGGAGAGGCGGAATGAGAGACCGAAACCGACACTAAGCAAATGAGAGAGCAGCCCCAACCACAGACAGAGCATTCGTGACGTCAAATTTGAGCTGCGACTGCGACTGCAACGAGTTTCAAAAGAATTCTCGGCGCGTGCTAAAGTTGCGGTTGCAAACGATAAGAGCCGGAGGTAAGTTGTTTGAGTAAGTATAGAATGAGTGCAGCCCGTATTTTTAGAGCCGCTGACAAAGATTGATTCCAGCGATAAGCTTTGCAAAAAAACTTGAGCTAATAACGCCTAACAAACAAAGCCATTGAGCAATTATTAAGACGGAAACAATTAGTGTTGTAAAGCGGATGCGGCGACACAGAAAAAACATACATTTTCAAACTGCTTGGAAAGTGGATATTCCACAAATTGGAATATTCAATTTTCACAAAGTACAATATTTTCATTTTGGTATAAAATAGAAATACTAATTTATATTTGTTTAAAATGTAAAATTTGTAAACGATGATTAATTTTTATTTTAAGCCAAATGACACAGTTCAAAATTTCAAACTGTCGCTTCCAGAAATTGGAAAACTATGCACTATAGCCTTTACTAATTTTACAAACATAATGTCAACGTTAATTAATTTCTATTCTCAGCCCCATGTCACTGTCCATTCTAATCCGAATTTGTGGTGGCGATCAACCACCACCGTAAAAAAAAAGGAACAGTTGGCTTAACAAAGGGATACAAAAGATTTACAGTTGTGTGAATTCCCAATAGATTGGTAATAGGAACAGCAAAAATGGAACACTTACCAAAGCGAGCTTCTGTCGAGTGGTTTTGGATTTTTTTTTTTCTTTTTTTGGGAGCAGCTGCAGCCGCTGCTGGCCGAATAAAGTCACAGGCTGTGGCTCAGCGAAGCGTTGACGCTTCCGTTGTCGTTGTTATTGTTGTTGTCGGCTGCTGCACTTTGCGAAACTTCCTGTCTTGCTGGTAAACAGGTTGTGAAGATGAAACTGAAACTCAATATGTGTGCACAGCTTGGACAGACGTCGCAGTCGCAGCCGCAGCAGCAGGCGCAAGGTGAAGGACGTCGACGTCGACGGCGCCGTCTGCGTTGTCTTTGTATGTATGTGTATGTGTGTGTGTGCTGCTTTGTTTACACTCGCACAAATAGCAGCTGGCTCGAGATGCGGCAACGTTGTACATGGAAATTGGCCATCATCACCGTCATAATCGAGACGAATTGAGGAGCAGGAGGAGACCGCTTAATATTAATTTAGTTGGGCCCCCACACACGCACACACGCAAACACTAATGCACAATCCGCACTGCTCTTTTCCTCTGCTGCTGCTGCTGCTGCTGCTTTCGTCGTCACAGTTTTTTGCACAAATTTTTCTTGCGTTTTTACCCTTTCGTTGTCGCTTGTTGTTGTTGCCAGCGTTTATTTTGTTACATATTCCTCGCATTAGTTTTGTGTAATTTCGCATAAATTAAACAAAAATTAACGTTTTCCATGGAAATGCGCGCACGAAAGACAGCACAAAATAAAGACAGCGAACAAAAAATATGCGAGGGGCGAATGCACGAAACGAAGCTTTAGCTATTGCTGTTGTTGCTGCGTTGACAAGCGCGACAGAGCTTTTATTCGAGTCACGTTTACGGCTTGTGTTTCAGCAGCAGCGAACAACAAAAAACAAAGAGCGAGGCTTAATTATATTTTGAAAATAAAATCTGCTAGTAAAACTCGTGCGACGCAGACGCCTCCTGCGTATGTTGATATTGTACCAATACTGGACGGTTGTGTTACCGCGCATTGAAAGCGATAATATACTGACTTCCAGTGTCTATAATATACTAAAACAGTCATGCGACTCGTAATTGCGTCGTCAGTGCGGTCACACTGCACATGTGTGTGTGTAGCTGCTTCGCGCTGAATGCCAGCTGTTTTTAAGCACACGTGCGGCGAGTTTAGATTCTTGGAGTCTGTGTCTGATTTAATGTTAAACTGCTTAAATAAGTTAAGAATATGCCGGCAGCTGTAGCTACAGGTGTGCAAATCAATGGTTCATTGAAAAACAAAAAGATTGTATTTAATGACGATGGCGAGGCTGTGACGAAGCCCAAGTGGGAGAAGCACAACAACAATAAAGGTGCGTCAAATGGGCAGGTGAAAAAGCCGCAGAAAATTAAATTCGGTGAGGATGAACATGCGGCAGAGAAGGCTGCAGTAGTAACAAGTGTGAAAAATAAAAAGATTGTCTTCAATGACGATGGCGAGGCAGTGACAAAGCCCCAGTGGGAGAAGCACAACAATAAAAAATCGTCTAATGGACAGGCAAAAAAGCCACAGAGAATTAAATTTGGGGCTAATGGCGATGCAGAAGAGAAGGCCGCTGTACAAACAGGCTCCAGAAACAAAAAGATTGTCTTCAATGATGACGGGGAAGCTGTGGCCAAGCCCAAGTGGGAGAAGAATAACAAAATCAAGCCACAAAATAATAAAAATGCGTCAAACAGACATGTTAAACAGCCGCAGAGAATTAAATTTGATGACGCAGAAGAGGAGGAAGTGCAGCCTGTAGAGCCTAAGCCGAAGGCAGCTAAAAAGGGTAACCATGTAGTCTTTAATAATAAAGGGGAAGCAAAGAAACCGCAGCGCATAAAATTCGACGAAGATGGCGAAGAAAAGGAGCAAGGATCAGAGAGCGAAAGCGAAAATGAAACGGTTGAAGGTGCGCAGAAGAAGCGGAAGAAGCAACAGTTCCAAGTGGACGATTACGACTCACAGAAGAAATGGTATCAAGTGGCAAGTATTCTAAAAAGCTATATTAAAATGTAATAAATATAATATAAGTTTGTTGATGCAGTACACGGAATATCCCAGCAGTGATGAGGTGCTGGACATGAAGGAGAACGATCAGCTGGAGCTGTTTAATCTGTGCAAAGCCGCCTTTGAGTCAGAGAAGACAACATTCAATAAGCGTAGGAGTTTCTATAAATAAATATATAAATGAATATTAAAATACCAAATATATTGCTATTCCAGGTAATCCCACGGATGCTCGCTGGCTGCAAACGGCGTTACACAAGGGCACAGCCAAGGATCGCGCCAATGCAGGTGCTCTGCTTGTGACCAGCAATCCGCTGGGCAACCTGGAGGCGCTCTCCAATCTGATTGCCTTCTGCAAAATATCCAACAAGAGCAGCAACGATGTCATTGCCGTGCTCACGGATCTGTGGCAGGAGGTGCTGCTGCCGCCGCAGCGTAAACTGCTGGCCATACACACGCGCGGCGCCGATTGGAAGCTATTGAAGAAGCAGGATTTGGCCAAGGAGCAAACACGTCGCATCTACGCCTATTGGTACTTCGAGAACGAGCTGAAGGATCAGTATCACGAGTACTTAAAGAATCTAATGCAGGGCCTGCAAACGGGCCAGGAACACAACAAAACAGCTGCCATTGTGGCCGCGTCGAAGCTGCTCGCCTATGCACCAGAAAAGGAGCAAATGCTGCTCACGATGCTCATCAATAAGTTGGGCGATCCCATCGCCAAAATCGCCTCCAAGGCGCTGCATCATCTCACCGAGGTGGCCCAGAGGCACCCCAACATGTGCGGCGTCATTGTAGCCGAGGCCGAGAAGCTGCTCTTCCGCAACAACATTGCCGAGCGTGCCCAGCACTTTGCGCTGTGCTTCCTCGCCAGCATAGCGCCGTCCGGACGGCCGGAGGTGTGCACCAAGTTGGTCAATATATGCTTTGCTCTATTCAAGGTGCTCGTGCAGAAGGGCGCCGTCAACAATCGCACCATGCAAGCGATTCTGCGCTGCCTGCAGAAGGCCATCGTCGAAGCGCAACCGGCCAAAGGCAGCACCGAGCTGCTGACCAAGGAGATGCAGGACACCATCTATAGGCTGGTACACCTGGCCGACATACGCGTCTCGGTGCAAACGTTGGGACTGCTGCTGCAACTAGTGACAGTGAAGACCGAGAAATCGGATCGCTTCTACAATGCGCTCTATGTCAAACTCCTGGATCTGAATCTGATCAACATCGGCAGCAAGACCGCAGCCCAGTTGCTACACATTGTGCACCGCGCCGTCCACATAGACAAGCATGTGGCCAGAGCGCAGGCATTCATCAAGCGCCTGCTCCAGCTGGCGCTCTATGCGCCGCCCAACATGTCCGCTGGCTGCTTGATCGTGCTCCACAAGCTGCTGCGCATGCGCCGCGAGCTGGTGGGTGGCATTGGAGACATCGAAATGGCGGCGAATGCAAAGCAACTGCTGCCCGCTGCTGCAGCTGAGGATCTGGACAAGTTTGGCAGTGATGGTGAGGAGGTGTATAAGGATGCCGATGTAGAGCAAAATGAGGCGGAAGTGAAAGAGGAAAAGGAAGAGGAAAAGCAAACTGTAGCCAGCTCATGGCATCATGTGAATCTTGTGGGTACCGAGTCGAAGGTGCGCGAGATTGATGCCTGCAAATATGATCCCTATCATCGAGTGCCGGCCTTCGCAGGCGCTGGTTATGCGCTGCGGAACGAGTTACTGCTGCTGCGCCAGCATTTTCATCCCACGGTGCAGGTGTTTGCTGAGAACATACTGCTAGGTAAGGAAGTAACACTTAGTCATCCTCCGAGCACCATTCCGTATATATTAATTCCCTTTCTCTTTTAGAGAAACGCATTGATTACTATGGCGACCCATTGCGTGACTTTGGATTGCCGCATTTCCTGGAGCGTTTCGCCTTCAAGAATCCCAAGAAATTGGACCATCAGCAGGCAGTTGATGGCGCCGCCAGCGTTGCCCACAAACGATACACATCGTTCGGCGCACGTGGCAAGCCCGTCAAGTCACTGACCAAGGCAACCTGTACAGAGGACGAGATGTTTATATTCAATTATCTGGAGCATAAACGCAAGCAGGTGGAGCTGATGGAGCAGACGAAGAAGCAAAAGAAAGTGGAGAAAGTGGAATCAACAGAAGCGGCTGATGATGAGCTGAAAGAAGGTGAAGTGGATGATGATGAGTTTGAATCATATTTGGATGACTTCTTTGGCAAGAAGCTGAAGAAGGGCGCGGATGGAGAGCAGGACGAAGAAGAGCTCAATTTCCTGCAGGAACTGGGTGGGGAGCTGCAGACTGATAAGTCCAAAAAGAAGGATAAGAAGAAGAAACAAACAGAGGATGATGAAATGGATGACGAATGGGATGATGGAGCGGAGGATGAAGATGATGAGGAGGCCGATGAGCTATCAGATGCAGCGGCAGAGGATCAGTCAGATGATGAGACGGGCTCAATCGATTTGGAGCCGATTGACAACGATGAGGACGACGATGATGATGGCGATGATGATGAAGGTTTGATAATGGGTGACGATAGTGATGACAGCGAAGGTCCTGAAAGTCCTGATGATGATGATGATGAAGATTCGCCACCCAAGAAGAAGAAATCACGCAAAGATGGCGCCATGGATGAACGCAACTTTGCACAGAAGCTGAAGCACAGCGACGGTGCGTATGAGTTAATTATGATATATAATTCCTTTATATTAATATATGTATATTTAATCCGATTCTAGACATGAGCTCTCTGTTTGCTGCTGCGGACGATTTTTCAGCGCTGCTCGAGGAGACTGGCAAAACCAAGGGACAGGGCACCAGCAATGCGGTCTTCAACAAGGACAAATCGTCTGATAAACAGCTGAAATGGGAGGAGAAACGAAGATCGAATAGCAAAACCTACACAAGTAAAAAGTTTGGCGGAGGCAAAGCTAAGAAAGGAGGGGGAAAGCCAAAATTGGGCAAAAAGCGAAAACATTAGCATGGAATTGAGATGAAGAGCGGAAATTGCGACTGGTTTTATATACAAAAAATCTAATTGTGTTATGAATTATGTAAATAAACAATTAAATGATTTATGCTTATGTTTTATATATCAAATTTCCGTCTAAATTCAAATTTCTTTTTGGCTTTACTTCCGATGCATGTTAATTTCTCGAAAGCTTTGCAGTCCGACGAGCTAGTTCACTGTTGATCACATATCGATACTTTACAGCCTTTGTGCCTTATCGATTACTCGATAGCTGCTACAGTTGGCGGCTCTAAAATACTGCAGAAATAATATTTGAATTATTTTATTTTAACTTTATATACAAACTTTGGTGACTTAAACGCTAGCAAGTTAAATTGTGGTTTATATGTATTTTCTTCCATTTGTACACCTAAAAACAACGATCAATCGAGCGCTTCGTCTGTGTATATGTTTGTAATTCTTATAGATAATCTACACAATATGCTAAAATAAGATATTTGCGATTTGATTGTTTATCTTAACTGGTAATTAATTGTTGTTGTTGTCGTCCCCTCGATTGTTGCTTAAAATATGTTTTATCTATATGTATATGTATATGTATATGTATATACTATTGGAACCTTAGAAACTATTGCGTCGGTTGTAAAAATTCTCCTTTATAATAATCATAATAATGCTTGGGCTCTCAATTGATCTGAAAAACCAGCATTTTGTATTTTGGCTTCCTCTTAGTGGTAATTCATATGTTTATATATTTTTGTTTTTGGTTTAACATTTTTCATTTGTTTTTTGTTGTTTGTTTTCTAAGGCAACTTGTTTAAAGGCAACTTTAATATATTATTAAATCTTATTCGCTTTACACTAAACTTTTTCGGGCCTCGAGCTCTTTGTCAAATGCGTTCCACAGAAATTAATTAATTTATGTAGATATGTGTTTATTTTTGTTCTTGTCAGAGTTAAAATCAAACTAAATTTAATCAAATAAAACAAATTAAAAGAAAATAATAAATTTATCTTTTTTTTTTGTGATTTATGCATTTAAAATTTATTTCATTTTAATTCTTCATACAGTTGATAAACGCTCTTAAGTGTTTTATGTTGGGTATTTTTTTTTTTTTTTTTTTTTTTTTTTTTTTTTTTTTTTTTTTTTTTTTTTTTTTGGAAATTTCAATTATTTTCTTTTTGCTAACAAAACAAAATGTATAAAACAAATCAAAGAAAACATAAGTTAACAATAGATAAACTTAAATTAAGATTATTTTTATGCCTGGAGAGTCATAATCATAATATAGGAGATTAGACATAATTAAATTATACAGAAAGATATTTCACACGTAGCAAATGGAAATTATTTGTTACATTTTTTTCACTTTGCTGCAGTTGATTAAAAATATGAAAATGTTCACTTTTCAAAAAGAATTCATTTAATTTATGTTTTACTTGTTTTTCTTCCTCATTTTTGTTGTGGTTGTATTCGTTTAACAATTATTTATAAACTTAACATAGAGCACAACTTAAAGCGTAATATTAATATTATTATTATTGATATTCATACATATTTGTTTATGTATGTGTAAGACTATTTTATGTTGTGTTTAGTTTTCCTTTCGTTAATTAACTTAATTCACTATCTTTGCACTTAAATAATTTTCAAAATTTTATGCCAAAAAACTCCATATACAGTTGCTACGATTTGTTCTTACAGATTTTCTGAATTTTGTTTTTCTTTTGTTTTTCTTAAGACTCTGTACAATACACTAAAAAAAAAAAACAATTCACTAATCCAACAATGCAATTTAAAATGTTTTGTGTGTGTATGTGTGTGTGCGGAGTTAGATATTTCAATAATGAATCAAAGTCAAATTCAACTTATGCTTATGATTTACAGAATAACAACTTTCAAATCTCTATCGACAGGATCTTTGGTGCCGCTCAATGCTCCACCCGTTCGACCCACATTCGGTATCCTCCATATATTCATGCACGCATATATGTTTTCTTTCTTTTTTGCTTCCCTCTTTTCACTAAATTGTTGCCATCAGGTTGCGCCGTCTCAATCGTCCTCCGTCCAGCGATTTTCTTTTCCTAGCTATACTCAATATCTGCCGTCAGCTCCCCTGCTGCTGTCTTTGCTTCTGCCGCGGCCTCTGCCATTGCGTCGGCCATTCGTTGGCCGACGTGAGCATAGCCTGCAGCAGCTGCTGCTCATCCTCGTCGATGACAGGCGCAGCTACTATCACCGGCTCATCTTTCGTGTCCAGCGAATGTCATTCAAAGACATAACGCTGGCGCAGTGCACGCGCCCTCTCTGGCTGCACACGCGTCGGTGGGCGCGGCACCTTGGGCGGTCGCTTGGCTCGGCGCAGCGCTGGCGGACGCGGACGAGGGAATATCAATGGCTTCTCATACGCCTCGTCTGGGGTTTCTGCCTTGATGGTGAGCGAGCAATAGACGCGTCTCTCCTTCTTAAAGCGATGTTTGAGCACCTGCTGCACGCCATTGAGCAGCAGACAGAAGTGACGCCAGCTGGCGCGTGATTTGCGCCACGTGTACTTCGTCTTGCCAAAGCCATACAGATCGCTGAGGGGACGCGGCGACTGACGGTTTGTTGCGGGCGATGCTTGTGACTTTGTCACTGGCACCACCTCCGCCACTGGCGGTAGTTGCTGCATCAGCAGATACAGATCAGCCTTTGAGTCTTCCTCCGCTGGCGGTGAGCCAGCTGTTTCCAGCAACTCGGTGCGCCGCTGTTGGCGCGTGAGTGGACCTCTACTGGCCTCCACGGGCAGTTCCATTGGAGCTGGCGCAACAGGTGGCAGCATAGCGGCTGCGGTCTCTGGTTGGCTAGTAACATTGCCATCTTGTGATTGTTGCAGCGGCAGCTCAGTGTAATACTCGGAGGGCAGACGCAGTGGCGGCGCATGTTCGTCAAAGCCATGGAAGTCGATAAGCGCATCAAAGTCCGGATCATAGACGCACTGCGTAATATCCTCATTGGTCGTCGGCTCTTCTGCATAGTCGCCGCTGCCCACCTCTGTAGTTGACTTTTGTTGCATTGCCACCAGCAATTGTTTTTGATTTTCCTGCTTGATCGACAGTTCGAATGGCTGCTCCATGGTGTCTTCACTTAAGTCGACCAGAATCTGTTCAGGCGCTGGTACGATGTCTATGTCATGATCCATATTCTCCCGCAGCCATTCGCTCTCAAGTATGTCACTCAACTGGGGTCGATCAGCGGGATCTCTTTGCAGGCACCAGGTGACCAACTTCCTAAACTCTGTACTGGCGCTTAGCCAGCGCTTGGAGCTCTGATTGAAAGCTTCGCGCTGGATACGCTTCCGCACCTTGTGATGAGCCTCGGGAGTGTGGTCGCAATCGCCCTCGTACTGGCGATACGGCGCATGACCCACAAGCATTGTGTAGAGCGTCGCTCCAAGGCCATAAATATCCACAGCTGGCGAATAGGTAACTACATTGAGATCCGTTAACAGCTCCGGCGGCGCATAGTCCAGCGTATAGCGTGGCTTATCGCGCCAGCTCTCGAATCGACTGTTGTAGCTGTAAAAAAGGTAAACGTAAATTATTTTTGTCGATTCGCAAAATGGGAGTATTAAGCCTACCAGGCATTGCCAAAGTCCACCACCTTGACGTCGAGGCTGTCGCGGCTTACGAACATAATGTTCTCTGGTTTGAGGTCACCGTGTATGAAATGCTTGGAGTGCACATGCTGCACAGCGTGCACCAGCTGCCGAAATATCTTGCGACAGCTGTCCTCATTGAGGGTTCTGGTGTGCAGATAGCTGGCTAGCTCCTCGCCGCACAAGTACTCCTGAATGATCCACACCTCACACTTGTCACGGAACGTGCCGTGATAGTTGACAATGTTGCGGTGGCAATGAGTGTCCAAGGCACACGATGTGAGTGCATCCACTTCGGAGGCCCGAAATTTGGACAGTGGTATGACCTTTGCCATGAACACAATATCTGAAGCATCCACCACAAAGTAGCAGGTGCCATAGGCACCCTTCACCGTGCGTGTGCCCAACTCCAGGTCATCGGGTCGTGATGGTATATTCTGCAAGGAAATTCGATTAGAACGGAATGATTTGAGAATGCTATACTGCTTACCTGTAGGTCAGGATTGCAGTACTCAATCTGGCAGAGATTTTCACGTCGCATTTCCTCCAAATGCTCGGGTGCCACATATGTGTAGCCACGAAACAGCCGAATACGTGAGGGTGGTGCATCACATTCGGGATCCTCTGGCAACTGGTCGGTAAACTCGTTGCTGAAGTTTTGCACATCGTCCTCGGCATTGAGCGTTGGCTTGTACGGCGCTTTGCGACGCTTGTTGCGCAGCTCTTGCCAGTTAATACCAGTGAAGAATGGATGCTCCTTGATCTCAGTGGCATCCCTATGATTGCCGCCCAATCGCCGTTTCGGATTCTTCTCCAGCATCTTAAGCACGAAATCTCGAGCATTGGCGCTGAACGTGGAGGGTATCAATGGCTGTTCCTTTTGTATGCGACGTGAGATCTCCGATTGTTGACTCTGACCATCAGAGGTGGCAAATGGCGAAGCGCCCGTCAGCAGCTCAAAAGTGAGGACACCCACCGACCACCAATCGACGGCACTGTCATGACCCGGCGGCCCAGTTCGTATAATCTCCGGTGCCATATACTCCAGTGTGCCACAGAAGCTGTGCGCACGATATTCATTCTCGGCGGTGAGTATTTTGGACAGACCGAAATCGGATAGCACAATGTGACCATCGCCATCCAATAGAATGTTCTCTAGCTTGATGTCACGATATATAATGCCCAGCTGATGCAGCTGCTCCAGTGCCAGTACCACCTCAGCAATATATACACGAACGCGTGCCTCCTCGAAATGCTCCGCATGGTAGAGATGTGTGAACAGTTCTCCGCCATTAGCAAAGTCTACAAATGCAAACATTGAATTAGAGCATATATAATATAGATATTGTTCGGAGAAACTTACCAAGCACTAGATAGAGTTTCGATGATGACTGGAACGCATAGTGTAGCCCAACCAGAAACGGACTGCGC